ACATACCACTGTCTTCACTGTGCAGCATCAGATTCTTTCTATGTTGCTACACAACCAGGCTTCAGCTTAAACTTTGCTGTAGTGACCTCTTGTGGTTTAAGACATGCGTGTCCTGTGGGACATAATTAGTGGATCCATGCAGAGGCTCCTTTATTCATCTCTCGCTTCTCCTGAATACCTCTCCCCTGTGAGTTGGCACTGACAAATGTTCTGACAAAGCATGCAAAGTGCTCCACATTCCCTGTTTTCTAGTTTTTCCTCTTAATTCCATTCATACTGAAAATGTAGGCCACAAGCTTTCAGAGGAGCAAAGCAAAGATAAAATGTACATTTAGTTATTTGTCCGCTTTTTTGTGCGTGTACAAATATTGAAACTGTTTATTAGATTAAAAAAAAATCACTTTGAAGATTATTTTATGTTTCTTCCTCTGTATAGACCCTGTGTCATACTACAATCCTCTACATATAGCCGTTTTAAGGAACAGGCCAAACATGGTGAGGCTGCTGGTTGGACATGGAGCGGACATTGAAAAGAGGGACAGGGTGAGTTTCTATCTTGCTTTCTCCCAATTCATCGCCTTCCCGAATCTGTAAACGGCATCTACTACACATCTGCAGATCCACGAGAGCAGTCCCTTGGACCTTGCGAGTGAAGAGTCAGAGAGACTGCCTTGCCTGATCACATTGCTGGACCTTGGTGCTGATGTAAATTCAAGGGACAAACATGGTATGTCGGACCGCCTTGCTGAAGCACATCAACTCATACATCTGTTTGCTCTAAAGTGTTTTTGCTTTGGTCTCTTTTCTTAAAGGGAAAACGCCTTTGCTCCACGCATTAGCTAGCAGCGACGGGCTGACCGTGCACAACACAGAGAACATCCGGCTTTTACTGGAGAGAGGTACTGCTGCTGACTCTTAAATGGTCTCCGGCTTCTCTGTGTTTGTCTGTTCTCTCTTTGGTTGGTCAAGTGTTAACTCAAACTTCAAATACTACAAGTGTAATTAATCTAATCTGATCAAAGCATTGGATGTGAGTCTTGATCAAGGCTTTCTTTAAATGATCAGAGCCCTTAAAGAGACTCGGCCTCTGATGCTTGTCTACTCTCTAGTATTTTATGCATATAAAATGTGCCACTTGTTTTTGTTCACAAAATTGAACTGGAAACCATCCATGTTGTTTTGGATTTCCCTAACAATTTAGGTGGCTTTGGTTTATCCCTTCTATAATGATGTAAATAGTGATGGAGTGGCTGCTGCATCTCTTAACTACTGGTGTTGTGTAAAGCTGCACAGAAAGCAGCTAAATCAAAGGTCATCAATTTTTATGACATTCAAAGCCAAGCAGAAGAAAAACCGTCTCTGTTTACAAGCCAAATTATCAACAATTCCCATTAAAACAAAATGTTAACATGCTAACATTAACCCAGCACCACAGCAGAGAGGTTCCATATAAGTAACATTGAACACTGTAATGTTGGTTATATTTTTAGAAACATAAGGCTGTCCTTCAGAAACTGTTGTGGGGAAAAAA